AAAAAATCAGTGTGCCTTGAGAGAAGGCTAGCCCAGCTACCTACTGATTGTGTCACTGTCAGGAGCAGCTACAGTACATGGCCTATGGTAGTCTTATAGTGCAGACTCACTTTTACGACTGACCAGGGTTTGTGCTTGCAGACTATATACGATTCCGAAGGGTGGGGTGGGGGGGGGGAAGCTCTCGCTGGTAATCTTGGATCTATTGCGTGTGATGTACATGTATGTATGCCTAGGCCTACAATGTGGATTTTTTGTTTGTTAATACAACAATACTTGTATATTATTTTCATGAAAATGTATGATGAAAAAAAGAAAAAAAAATCAAATCAAATAAAAGAGAAAGCTCCATCTGTTGGTTATTGAATTTTCAGTACAATTAAATCGCCACCTTACTGTCTGTGTTCGATTACTGTCCTTCATAATGAAAAGGCTTCTAATCGAAAGAGACACATGCAAACGTCCATAATAAATTTGCTCCAGTACTATGGTCTTTGTAATGCAATTCGGTCAGGTTTCAAAATGACAACACATGTAGCTCCTAGTAATAATAATAATATAGGATTTCCCGGCCAAATTCGCGTGTTTGTCATTCGAATTCATTTACTTTGCATTTAAGTTAGCGCAGATCGGCTTTGCCATGCCAATTATCATTCAATTTTCCAGTTTTTGTATTTAAAGGTAAAGACCAGTTATGGTCATGCGATTGCATTGTGAAAGAAACGTTGTGGAATCGATCAGAAAAAGTTGATCATCTAGCATCTGCAAGGTTCTGGAATCATCAAAATGATAAGAAATTTGGCCCATTCTTCGTAAAGTTACAAGCACTATACACAGAAAGATGTATATGGGACTACCCTCTATCTCTCACAGTCCATGAGAGAAACAAATTTACCAAATATATGAATTAGTAGGCGGTTTCCCGGCAAATTTGTTATCATCATGTATTATTCAAAACATATTCTTTTACATGATTGGTAATGAGAGCTTCCATTTCATTTTTTGAAATTGGGGCGTTTCCAATACTGGTCTTTACCTTTAATTTAGGATTTCGGTCGAAGGGTTTCATAGATCTGTCATTCAATTTAGAAACTGCTCAACTAGCATTCAAATTAATATTCACTTGTCGAAGCGTAATTTTTATCATTCAAATTAAAACCTGTCATTCGTATTCGTAATATTTGTATTCAAGTTAAGAATGTTAGGGGGGAGAATTGCAACAAATTTCTACAGTTTTTAAATAATGCAATTAAAATGCATGATTTGCCATTGGGGTCTAAGCTGTTATTCCCTTTATTTATTTTCAGGACAATGCAGATGGGTGTAGTCAGACATAAAGTAAAGAAGGGGCGAAATCAAGGGATATGGCATTTCTGCACGGACATGTTCATACTGTATACCCGGGAAAGGTGGGTGTACCCTCAATCGCCCCTTTTTACTATACAGACTTGGAATTTTACAAAAGTAATTCACATCATCTCCTATACCCGGAAAACCCCTCTGTTTTTCTTAAAGAGTTTCATAGCCTACTTGCCCGCCAGCAGATCGATGGCTAAAGACATGGCTCAATAATGAATCATGTTCAAATTGTTGACTCTAGTCCCTACCCCAGTCACAATATTGTACCCTTCTTCCATAATGAAATTATGATAAATTATGATGAAACATAAGACAAACAACTTCTTTACATGAACATTTACAAATATACTGAGACCATCAGGTTCGTAGTTGCAAGTCGTTTTTTTCTTCTTAACAATCAAACTTAAATGTTGATGAATATCAGATAAATCTAATAAGTATAAGTGTATAAATGCAAGAAAATGAAATATGATGAAATACACATGAAAAAACAATCTTGAAAGAAAAAGAATGAGCTATAAAAAGTGTGTAATAAACGAGAAATGTATTTTGACCATCAATTTAAGTGCACAAAGTGCTAATTTGAATGCTACAAATGAATTAGAATGCTAGAAGTACACCGTCGCGCTGTCAGAAAACCTCTCTCAGGCCTTCTAGGATAGTGGAGATAGGTATGCCGAAAGAAAGGCCTAACGAACGGCAAAACATATAGAAGATCAAGAAAAAGCAATAAAAGACAAGATTGACAGGTCAAAATGCCCTTCAGTCAAAATAGAGTCGAAGGCTGTTTGTTTGTTTATATTTCCGAAATCCATACATACATGCAAGTTCTAAAAATATACATATAATTTATTTTTCAAATGATAAGAAAGTAAGTAAATGTGTTACGTATGGACAAAAATTTGGATAGCCCATTTCAGGTGTATTTTCAATATGGTCCTGTTCTTCCATTGACCTCCTTTCCTCACCACTCCCTCCCGCCACCCTCTCGATACAGCCAACCCCTCCCGCTACTCCCTCCCAAGTCCTCCAGGCTATCTGAGGTTTTGCGTCATATCGCCATATGCAACCAATATTATAGCACCACACGTTGAATAGTAGAAAATAACACAAAACCCGATAATATAGACATCTGGATGGGAACCCTTTGTTGTTTAAAGGCTAGCAATAACAAAGCAAACCACACGTTTTTTTGTATTGTCGCTTACAAAAGTGAGTACACATATTGGTTCGTGTCCACATTTCAATCAAAATTTCTTCTCGAAATTGCACTTTAATAATAAAAAACACATACAGAAACACGTTTAAAGGCATTATCACCTCTTCCATCAAGACTCAAGGAAAAAAAATAGATTCGTATCTTGTATTTTATTGTGACAATTTTTAGAGTTATCATAATATTCAATATCTAGATGGTCACTTATTACTCACGTATATCCATTCTATTAATACTTGTAATACTTGATATGATATTTTATATAGGTTCATTTTACAAATTACAGCCATGATTTACAAGTTACCTTTTTGGTTTTGTTTTACACAGTGTCACAATGGATGGACACTCAATATTTGACGAAAGTGATGAAACAAATATCCTAACGGCATATACCAAAACAGTGTACTAAAACGTTATGTTTGTGATAATGAATAACAAGACAGATACATGTAGTAACTTATTTTAAACCTAACTGTTGTTATCAAGATACTCCATGGAATCATTTCACATAATAATTACAAAAATAAAGCTTGTATAGCAAATATTTGTCCGAGTCTTTGTAATAGTGACATAAGATATTCCCCTTTCAGGAAAAAAAATATTGGAATCTAGTCAATGATTTTCAGTCAAATATTACTAGAAAGTATGCATCAAATCACGCAATATGAGTTTGAGAATTCAATTTTCTTTCAATTTCTGAGGAAACCCGTTTACTTGCTAGACTGTCTTCTTTGGCAAATGAGCTGTAAAGGGTACAATATGAGCATTTGTCTAGATCAATAACCTACTTCTTGTAATGGCCGAAATTAAACTGATTGAATCTTTGCGCAGCATAAAACGTACAAACATTCGGTACAATGGTCTGAAAATCAGACTATTAGGCCAAGTAAAAGAATATACATGTTTAGCGTCCCCGCCCGCTTCTTTTTTGGGGGCCGCCACCTATTTTTTTTTTTTTTTTTAATTTGTGTTTTTGTTTAATGACTTAAAAGATGGAAAACATACTGCTAAAATGATCTATTTCTGATTTTTAAAAAATAAAATAAAAAATACCGGCGGCCATCTTGAAAAATAGCCCGACTGTCCGGAAAAATGTACCGAGCGGCCATTTTGAGCAGCCATTTTGAAAGAAAAAAAAAGAAAAAAAAGGGCCTCCTCCTTCCTATTTTTCCAAAAAACAGGAAGCTAAACATGTATTTTTTTTATTTGGCCTTACTTACTGGCTCTATAGCTCATAAGTCGATTCGACAACTAATATATTAGTTATTTTCCCACTTAGAGACATTTTCAAGCCCCACTTTTGAGGGGAAAGTTCTAAATTAGTATTATCTTTCAAATGCTGTTGGAATTTAATCTTTTCATTTTTTTAGCCTGCAAATGGGACATAGTACCTTTAATACATACAATCTGCATTCAAATGTTTTCCCCGCCCTGTATGCCTACCCATTTACATCACCTGGGTGGAGAGTGACAAATGTAGATTAAGTAAAGGACATAATGTGCCACTGCGGGACTCGAACCACGAACCATGTGATCCACAGTCCGGTGACGTATCCACTAGTAAGACCACTACATTCTACAAAGTTTATTCACTGAGGGTCAACTTCGGGCAACATTCTCATCATGCTCAAGGGACAGATCTGAACCACTTGACCCCTCTTTATACACATTTGCAGATGTGGCACGGTCAATTATCTAGTATTCATTTTACATTACATTTTTTCCCTCCTCATTTAAAGAGCAAATGTTGCAGAACACCTGAAATTTCGATGTATTTCAAGAAGGAGACTTGGGGCCCATAAATTAACCAATTTAAGCAGAGCACGTGTAGAATATTACTGTTAGAACCCGTAACACCTGTAATGGGTGGTTTATACCTTCAGGGAACTTTATTTATCAATCAAATGGGCTTTAGGTTAATCAATATAATTGTCAGAAGATATGACGTAAGTTTCATGAATGCATACAAACTAGGAAACTGATCTCCATCTATTGCGCTTTGAGGAAAAACAGACTCTATCGATCGCGGGACATTGCTACAATTTTGTTTCGGGTCAATAATTTTCATATCTCTACTATTTCTACGTTCGCTAACTCAGCGGAGAGCAGTTCAACTCATCGCGTGGCTGCAGTATACGAATATAATAAGGGCGGCTCGTATCTTTCTCTGTTTAACGGTTTTCATGAGGACAATTTGTATAATTGGAGTGACTGATTGGCAATATCGACAGTATTTCAAATTTTCACCACGTTTTATCATTGTGATCAACTACCAAATGTAATCAATTTAACAACAGTGATAGACCAACATGTTAACGCAGTTGGACATGAAGACTGGATTTATCTAAAAATACAATTATCACTAATTACCCAGCATATTAATGGACCGTACTCTTCTTATCAGTGGAATTAACCAGTTAACACGATGAAAAATAGAGAGGTGCAGCTTATGGTGTTTGCGTTCTGCATTACTACTTCATGTATTATCATCTACCATAACTGCTCCACGTCGTCTTATCGATTACAAACAGTCATCAAAGGAAGATTACTACCACAAAGAGCTGATTTTTCAAATGTGACAAAAAGAAATGTCAACACTGTGAGATATAATGTCACGACACAAACACCACCCGAACAGAAACCCACTCCGGCTCCGTTGCGCGGATGGCAGAAAAATGTATCCTGGGTGCCAGGAGCTGAGCTGGATATATATGACTTTTTAATCAATCCTGTTGATAAGTGCAACGCTGGAAAAGATCAAATCACATTACTTGTCTTAATCAAATCAGCACCAGGTAATACTGAACACAGGGATGCTGCCAGACGGACGTATATCAGTGGGGCCGCGAAATTTAATGTGTCCACAAGGTTGCTATTTATCGTGGGAGATTCCGAAGCACAAGACGAGAGGAAAAACATTCAGGAAGAGGCCCGAAGACATAGAGATATCCTGAAGGTGGGCTTCCACGACGGTTATTACAATCTCACCATCAAACTGGTCATGGGGTTTAAATGGGCCTTGCAATTTTGCAACAACAGTAAATTCTTGATGTCAATGGATGACGATGTCATGGTTGATATCGTGACCCTGGTCAACGATCTCGATGCTTTACCTTCGAAGGATCATTCTCAATTCGTGCTGGGATTTACGAAAGAGGGGGGTAGACCCATTCGCAAGGTACAGAGTAAATGGTACATACCAGAGGACCTCTACCCAGGTAAGACGTACCCTCGATTTCCATACGGGCATGGGTATGTTATGTCACATTACGTAGTCAAAAAACTGTATCTGATATCCAAAGAAACCCCAGCGATAATACCGTTTGACGATGTTTATTGTGGTATACTTTTGAACAAGTTAAGCATCAGAGTCGTTGACCGATCTACATGGTTCAAAGACCGCCACCCGCAAAAGAAAGAACAGGATTATTTAAAGATTGAGTTATCACCGCAGAAAATGGAGAAAGCTTGGACAAGTTTTGAAGAAGACTTTGAAAAATAGAATTTTCGGCCCGTCTTATAAAGAGTTAATTTATTTATATACTTATTTATTTCTGATATTGAGACAGGGTGACTCACTCACAATGGGGGTCTTCCATGAGGCCGTATTAATCATATTAAAAACAATAGTTACTAAAAAAAAAACATATATGTACAATAATAATAATAATAATAATAATAATAATAATAATAATAATAATAATAACGAAATCAACAACAAATAAGTAGGAACATGTATCAACATATATACAATATTTGGTATCCTCGTAATGAAAGAATGGTTCGTTTAGTTTGTTTTGCTTTGTTTTGCTTTGCTTTCTTGTTGAAGAAAACGTTGCTGCATATTTATAACATCTTCATATAACATTATAGTATCGACGGCAATTAATTTTTAAATCCGATGAAAAGTATATATGATTACATTTCGGTATGTATTAGACTTTAATAAAAAGGCAACAAAAAGTCATGTACTTTTGAGAATTCATAAGCAAAGTATAGAAACTACTTCGGCTCAGTTAAGAAAGTCATTAGGGATACCAAAATTGTTATATAAATATCTACAAGAACATAGAAATTACAGGATCGTAAATTACTGAATAATATGCAAAATGAATGCATGTAATCTAGTATAGCAATTGAATGTTGAATTCTATTCAAAGGAATAGGTGAATTCTTTTCATTCTACACACCTGTTTCACTTGAATGCACATTGGACTTCGTTATCATCACAGTGGCTGCATCACTTATAATCCGATAATTGTATAGAAAGGGTATTTGTGGAAATTGTCAATAAGAATTCTGGTATAATTGTTGGGTCAATTTATAGGCCTCCGGATCAGTCTGTTGATGAATTTTTAGAAAGATTCTCAAATGTTTTTATCGTTGTAAATAGGGAAAATAAAATAATTTATTTATTAGGTGATTACAATATCAATTTATTGAATGTAGGTAAAGTGCAATATGTTGATAATTTCATCAATTTACCATTGTCGCATCATATGTATTCGTTGATAGACCATCCTACCAGAATCACTGACGACACGATTTCTTTGATTGATAATGTAATTACTAATAATGTAGACAATGTTGAATCAGGAATATTTATAACAGACATCAGCGATCATTTACCTGTATATTGTATTAGCTGGAGTGATATTCAATCTCAGCAAAATTTGAATAAGCCATTAAGAATAATCAATGATAAAAGTATAAATTGTTTTTTTAGATCCCTTCAGATGGTCCAATGGTCTTGCCATAATAACAATCCAAATGTAAATTATGTGCAATTTTTAGAGAGGTTTTTAAATGTATATAATTTGTGTTTTTCTTTAGAATGTTTGAAAAAAACACCCCCACAAAAATAAACCATGGATCAATCCTGATATCCGTAAGTTGTCAAAGAAAAAATGTCGTTCATATGGACTTTATCTGAGAAACCCAACACCGTATCGAAAATAAGTGTACAGAAAAATTTGGAATAAAGTCAATAATATGATTAAACAAGCTAAAAAACACTATTTTATAGAAAATTTTGCAACAGCCAAAGGGAATATGAAAAAGACTTGGAACATAATTAATTGTGCAATGGGTCGTGTAAATAAAAAGTGCAATATTGATTTTTTGATATCTAATGATCAGGTATTACATGATACCTCTAAAATGTGTAATGTATTTAATGACTATTTTATTAATATTGTATCTGAATTGAAATATCCTGTTGATCAGGGCAATAATTTAAATTTGAATTTTTGTCGTTATTTGGATAGGAATCCCAGTACGTGTTATTTTAAACCAATCACATGTTTCGAGATCATTGATATTGTGTCTAATATAAAGAGTGATTGCAGTCCTGGGTACGATGATATAAGTATCTAGGTTATAAAGAAATCTATACATATTTTATGTCAACCCATCTGTGCAATATTCAATCAATGCTTAGATCTAGGTATATTTCCTGATGAATTAAAGATTGCTCGTGTGGTTCCTGTATATAAAAATGGTTCAAGTGAAAATGTTGCAAATTACAGACCCATATCAACCTTGCCAATTTTCGCTAAAATTTTAGAAACATGTATGTACAATAGATTTTTTGATTTTATAAGCGAGTGCGATACATTGTCTTTGAACCAATATGGTTTCCGTCCTGGAAATTCGACGTCATCAGCTCTTATTGATTTTGTTCACACTGTTGTTAATGCTCTTGATCACAAGAAATATATATGATTGCAATGTTTTTAGATTTGAAGAAGGCTTTTGATACAGTCGATCACGCTATTTTATTACACGAACTTGAATTATATGGCATAAGAGGTATTGTACTTAAATTATTTGAAAGTTATTTATCAAATAGAAAACAATATGTTGAGATTTCTAAACGCAAATCACAGCAAGGGACCATCTCATGTGGGGTACCACAGGGTTCTATCTTAGGACCACTGTTGTTTCTTTTATTTATAAATGACCTTAGTAAAGTATCTAAATTATTACATTGTACTATGTTTGCTGACGACACCAGTCTGTTTTTATCCCATCCTAACTATCAGGATTTACATAATCTATTCAATTTTGAACTTGAATTAATATCTGAGTGGTTTTACGCAAATAAAATGATAATCAATGTAGCAAAAACCAGTTATATTATTTTTAGTAATTTATTGATACCAGATTATCTTTCAATTAGTGTGTGCAATACATACATTAAGTGTGTAACGTCAGTAAAAAAAAATTAGGCATTACAATAGATCATAAACTTACATGGAAAAATCACATTGATAGTCTGTGCAATAAGCTGGCAAAATATATAGGAATAATGTATTGTTTAAGATCATTTCCAAAGGAGAATAATCACATTGATAGATTGTTTATTTTACAAAAAGTGCAATACGAATTATGTCTCATGCACCTTACCTTGCCCATACCAACCCTCTATTTATTGAATCAGGTGTATTGAAATTTCATGATATGTATGTATTTCAGGTACTTATATTTATGTTCTTATGTAACAATCACCTCTTGCCAGACTATATCAAAACATTCTTTCAGTTCAGTAATGAATATCATGGATACAATACAAGAAATGCTAATGATTTTCATTTACCCAAACCAAGGCTCCCATCTTTTAAAAACTCAATATTATTTCAAGGATCCCAAATCTGGAACTCTCTTTCTTCAGATATTAAACAAGCAGTTTCGTTAAATGTTTTTAAGTCAAAATCTAGACACATTATTTTAGACAGGTATTCACCAAGTTTGTTTGTTTAAATGTATAGGCATACCCCCCCCCCTTTATGTTGTAGTAAGTGATTTGTTATTTTTTGTAGCGTTTTTAATGTATTATGTTACAGGGTCAGGTAATCACAAGGCTTGTTCCTTATTTTCTGTCCCTCTTATACTTAATCCAATGTATACTTTGTTATTATTTTTTCTTGTAAATTTCACCGTTTGTATCATGTTGATTTATGAATGTTTGCATGTGTTTTCTGGATTTTTACGAGCAAATAAATTGAAATTGAAAATTGAAATTGAATGTACACTCTTAAATAAAAAGTAAAAATACTAATATATCTATGACTGATAATAAATTGTACGAAATCATTCTTTCAGCTTGAAAAGGATTATGTCGTCCTACATTCAGTGCTCAGAAACAGACAATCAAACATTTTGTGCAAGCAGGACAAATTGCAATTGTCATATTCTTGACAAAGTCAAGAAAGTAAAAAGCATCAAGTGAAATGTTCCTAGCAATAAGGATGTGTGACATGAATACCATATTCTATCATGATGTTCTGCAAGCGCATCACTAACCAATAGTTTGATTTTAACAAGAAAATGTGCTGGAAAGCTAGAAGGAATGAAAGTGAAAGTTTAGTTAAGACACGAAACAAAATTCTTCTCGTCATTTCATCTTATTGGGAATCGATATTGCAAGATTGTTTTAACATGTATTTTAAGTGTTCTCAGATCGGTGTTGTAATTTCTTTGGAACATATAGTTGTTAAGATGGTAATAACTTCCCGTGTTCGGTTTATTAAACGTTCAGGTGGTGGAAACAAATGGTGGAAAAGGTGAATACACTGCTATGTATTGGCTCGTTACTCCTCTTCCTTTTAGCGTATTTCTGTTTCTTTCCTTTTTCTTTCTGTATTTGTCCTAAATTAAATTAAACTAGTATACAAGTTTCTGTCAAATTACTGCCCTTTTACATTTGATTATGTACGTCTCTCTAAAGTAAATATATTCTGTTACGGTCATTTTTTCCACGTCTCTCAGTAACCTATTCTTTACAAGTATGCTTTTCTATAGCTTCCTGCACATTTCACAATTAGGTACTTTTCTTGTCTGGGTTTCCTTTAGCATACTAATAGTTGTCAAACATGTTTGGTAATATATAATTTGTAGTTTGATTAATTTTTTAATTACTATAATCATTTTTTTTAAAATTATGAAACAATATGTCTTTTGTGTATATTTTGTTATCTGTAGTGAATCTGCATGTAAAATGTGAAACCAATTAACTCAAACTCAATCTCAATAAACATTAATATTAACGCACTCTGTTTCATTTGTTCATATTATTATTGCTATTATTAGTAATTAATCAATTTATTGTAGCTATTTTTTTTTTACCCTGAGAATGAATAGATACAAATTGTCGGTCCATCTGAAGTGTGTAATCCCTCTTCATTATTTATTTGATTTTTTCCTAGAATAGTACATGCCAAATATTGTAGCGTTTTGTTCCTTATGTGTAATGATGTTTGTATTTCAAAGTTTATTTCAAAGGTTAAGGGGTTTTGACAGTTTTAAAAGGTGTGTGGTCGGTGATTGGTCTGTAGAGCGTTCTGGTTGGCTAGAAGATTATACTGTGGCAGTTTGTGGGGCAGGGGGGGGGGGGTTAACATTTTGAAATCGGGCCGAAAATTTCAGTCGCTGAATAAGCGGGGGGGGGGGATAAGAGGACACTTTTTTTGGTCCCCCCAAAAATCGCTACGAGGGGGGGGGGGGGGTGGTAAGAGGATACTTTTTATTTCTTTTGGTCTCGAAATTTGAAGATTTGACATTTATCTCCGTTTG